TGAAATGTTAAACAAATTAAGAAAAACAATATGCTCGAACAAAAATATCAGCCGTTTGCAATAACTTTAAACACAGGTAAATGAAAATAACTTTGTTGTTAGGTATACGTGTACAGTTCCAATAGAGAAAGAAAATATTTTTACAAAATAAATAATTTTGATGTTCATAGTACGAAGTGAAAATTTATAGTTATACCAAACACTTATCAAAGCTGGTATATAGACCAGATATAACCCTGAATAACATTAAATAACAAAAAAGCATTTCAATAAGAATCAACAGGTCAAATAAACAAGAAAGTACGATTTGAGAGTACTCGCAGTTACTGACAGCTAGTTAAAAGCCAAAACAATTAATAATAAAAAATCATGCATCAGAGACTAAGCATGCTAAGAATGTTCACCTTATTTTAAACTACAATCAATTACAATGTATTCAATAAATCAATCAGCCATTCAATCGGTTATTTAGTAAAGCTGACATAGGTGTCTATTTCGATTGTAGGCTTTAATATTTGCCCAGCTGACTTGATATATACATATGAAATTGAAAACTGAAAAACTGAAATAGATAAAAACACACTTGTTTGACTGAATATAGAATGCAGTATACAATTACCTTTGATAATAAAGAAAATAATCCGCAGATTCCGACATTGTGAGCAACGCCTCTTGAACTGTTGCATCAATTTCAGAGAAAAATATTATGCATTTCACTGACTAGTCTTTAGAAGGAAGAAGGAAGTAACTAAACTTTTAAATGTGTAATTCACACAAATCATACCTTTGAAAATGTCATTTAAATCCCTAAATCACGAACTTTTTTATATCGTCAATAGAAGTGTGTTCTGTAGAAGGAAGATATTTAATTTTAACATACTAATTTTACAAACAAAAAGTATGTATTTCATAGCCTGATCGCTTTTGGTTCGTCACAGACCTTCATCAAAGACAGAATGAAGGATTATCGGTTGAACCCAATTTATGTGATACACCTCACAGTAAGGATATAAAATTAAAATTGACCCTCAAAATGATTAAGCATCCACTTTTCCTGCTTTTATATTAAATCACGATAACTGTTTGTTTCATACAAGTACATATGAATGTAATTCGTATCTTCCATAAATTACATATTCAAAAGTTAAAAAGTAGAAATATGATTTCTCTTTTGTAAATCCATGGCCGTATCCTGCATTTATTTGGCATAACATATTGCATTTCCTCGTAAAAGTGCATTAAAATATCGTGCAAAAAAGGTGAAAAAAAACTTTTCAATAATTTCTGGACCAATGTCTGGTATTGATATTACGATACGGATTGTCATACAGCAACAACCCATGATACATACATAGAACAATATTAATGTTCATATAAATCCACTTTGAAAGTTTTATGAATCATCTGCTATCCAAAAAGAATTTCATAAATAGTCAATTTATTCTTTCAGCTCAGTAGTCATTCCCTCGGAACTGACATGATTTATGACTAATCTTTCTAAAATTGTCCGTTTATAAATTTTTAAATTATAAAGAAACTAAGGTTTCATCACCCTCAGGCAAAGTTGGTCTTAGATGGATTCGGCTATTTTGTTTAAGCTCTTTTGGTTATATAGCTCTTCAACTTTTTCGGTTCTTATACATCACTGGCTTTCAAATATTCGACTTTGAGCATTCCTGATAAAGGTAGACCCAGAAATATTCAGACGCATGACATTTAAAACCTGTTGTTTTCCTTTTTAAACAGCGCTGGGTCGATACTTTTGCTGGTGGACTATCAGTGCTCGAGAGTATCATCAGCTCAGTAGTCATTCCATCGGTACTGACATGATTTATAACAAACATTTTTAAAATTGTCCGTTTATAAATGTTGAATTATAAAGTAACTAATGCTTCAATTCCCTCAGGCAAAGTTTGTTATAGATAAAATAGCTATTTTTTTTATGCCCTTTTCGGTTATATAGCTCTTCAACTGTTCCGGTTCTTGTACTTCCTTGGCTTTCAAATATTCTGCTATGATCGTTACTGATCCAGAAAACATTTCCGACGCATAAAATTTATAACGTGTTGTATTATTTTATTAACAGCACTGGGTCGATACCTCTGCTGGTGGACTATCAGTCCCCGATTGAGAGTATCATCAGCTCAGTAGTCATTACTCCGATACTTTCATGATTTATAACAAACCATTCTAAAGTTGTTCGTTTATAACTTTTAGAATTATAAAGAAACTAAGGTTTCAACTTCCTCAAGCAAATTTCACTTAGATGGATTTGACTATTTTGTTTAGGTTCCTTTTGGTTATATAGCTCAACATTGCGTGATGTTTTGTGCTCCTCTTGCTGGTTGAAGGCACAACAAGAAAAAAGTGCATTTTGGATTAGGTAAAATGACAACACGATTAGGATTTAGAAAAGTGTAACCGCCTTTTCGGAAAGCAATTTTCCTGGCTTTTATCAGGTACTAACTGTTTGTTTCATAAAATTGCATATATATATGATCAGGTGATCAAATAACAATTGAATGCATTTCACCTCATTTATTCGTAAAATTGTTCGAGCGAAAAAAAGGTGAAAAAACATTACCATTATTTCTGGACCAATGTCGGGTATGGATATGAAAATACGGACTGTCAAATAGAAAACAACCAATAAACACATACATAGCACAATATTAATGTCCATTTAAACTCACTTTGAAGGCTACATTTATCTTCAGATATCCCAAAGTGAATTTTACTGCACAATATTACTGACTTTCATATTTAAACCATTTATCGAAGCCAAAATGCGCAACCACACACCTAATTGTGGAGTGCTAACGATAGGATCTCAAGGTTATCTGTTACCGGATAATAACCGTACAGGACGAAATTATATGTTCAGTTAAATATCTGATGGAAATTATATCAGTTACAGTAAACATCATTCAACTGATTTGGTAAGTTACTGTAAACATTCACATTTCACCTGGTGATATATGTTAGGATAAACATTACACATGATAATGTATACATGATACGGTAAATATCTAACCAGCATGTGGGCATCTATTTTGACTTCTATGCGTTTGTCGTACATGGTAGTAATGCAGTATTGATGTTATGACTTATCATTTTCCGAGATATGAAGACTTTTAAATGAAGGCTTTGTTTCAGACTTTAAATGATCTTGTATGTTTCAGAAAACGTTACGCCTTAATATATAGGTTACGGACATAACTGGATTACAAATTTATGGTGTTTGAACTCATAACACTGTAGATTGATATGAAAACTTATTAGGACACTTACCCTAGATATCAAAAAGGGATAATTGCATATCGAGATACTAGTAATGCTTTCATTTATAGGTCTTGATATACAACCAAATCATAAGCCAAAACATCAAGACTAATTGAAAACAATGTTCGACGATTTAAATAAAGTCACAGTAGAAGACCAATATCATCCAGTGTGATGTTTACCGTAATAGACACAATCAGTTGTATGCTAAAATAATGCTTACATTTAAAAGATTGGGTATTTACATTAATCATATACATGTACCGAAACAGAAAAACTAACTGATAAACATTGATACATTTTTACTGAGTGTGGATTTTCATGGCACGCGTTGCATCAAAGCAGGAGACGCTTATCCCGTCAACATAGCCGGTCTCAATTCATTCATGTTTATGAAGTTACTGCGATCCCATCAGTTTTTTGTATGTATAGTCTTCCTAATCGATTAATGAGATTTGAACATCGTTAAACTATTGTTGTCTTTATCAATGGCAAACATCATGCGGAATAGTTGAAAAGCATTAAGCAATTTGTTATCTGTTTTACCTTATATACCTAGCCCTCATTAATACAGGCACTTTATGTATTTGCCTGCATGTACTTTCAAATATTGATATATTCAACACCTTGCATGTTAGAGAAAGCAGATTTTGTTAAACAATTAACAAAATCAACGTTATTCTGCATATGCTTATTAACCTTAATTGTCATGAATTTGGACATTAAACAGTCGTATCTAGTTGTTTACAACCGATTTGTTTCATTTTCTTTTGCTTTAAACGACATCAAAGAATGCTAACTTTCTGTCAAGCATTACCATTCCTTACAAATATATTCTCATTTTTCAAACAGATAGAATCATTCATTTAGTTATGTTATGACAAGGTAAATTATTTGCTACAGACGAAATTCACGACTTATAAAATGTCAATCACTCTTCATTATCAGGCTGTAGCTGATAACAAAATATGTACACAGCCTCAGCTGGGAACCTGATTCTAATGATATAAGTGATTTGCAAAAGCGACAAAGCGCAAATTGCACTTCATTTCTCATCATATAATTTCATAATGTTACAACAAATTAAGTCCCATAATGACTACTGAAAGCATAAACGTGAACTACCTTAAGTAATATACAAATGTAACGACTACAGATTCTGTGCAAACTCGGACAAATTTCAAGACAAATATCACTTCATTACTATTAGAAGTAGGAACAATGTTAATGCAATGAAAATATTAGCTATCGCGAATATCATGATTCTAAAAAAATCTGAAAGTACCATGGTCAATGTACTAGAATTGAACCCCTAATTTGGTTCACGTAAAACGAAAGAAAAATAGTAAGAAGAAAACATCATTATATTTAAAAGTGGCAAATCGGGGACACAAATTGTCTACCATTTATGTAAAGTTCATTATCACGAGACACTCTGTCTAAAATTTGCATATTTGTGTTATGAATGGACGTTAGCTGCTGCAAAACAAAATCCTTAAGCGATATCAGTAAACATAACATATGAAGGCTCTTATGTCGTAGGTTTTATAAAACTTAATCTAAGATATTTTATAAATTCTGTTAATTGTATAAGAACTCTGATTAAGATTAATTCAATATATTTAATTTTTTGATAATTTATAAAAATCAGAACTGTTTTTGGAATTCAAATGAGAACATCAAGCGCCACATCACAGAGTGATACGACGATAGATTTATACAACAGTCAATTATGCTCTTACAAACGCGCGTGCTCCTCACGCGTACTGAAGTTAGTATGTTAAACTGACAAAAATGGGTACATGTTTATGCTGTTTATCCCACAAAAATGTGCATTTCGTAAAATGACAACACGATCAGGACTTAGGATAATGTAACAGCCCTTTCCGATAGTTGTTTTAATCTTAATTCAAATTATATCAATGATATATACAGTATATACAGTAAAACAGTAACTATATATTAAACCACTTTACTTTTTATGCATTATTGCTAGGCATTTTGTTTACAATAATTTCCTAAGACAATTGTATTCAAATGACCATAGATCGGGTTATTAAGAACATACCTTATCAGGATTAGAAACAAAATGTGTAAAGACCACTACAAAAAACATACATGGACCATATTTTTTTCTTTTTGACAGACGTATAAAACACATCTGCATCAATTTTGCTACACAAGTCCAACTTATCTAAATATGTTATGATAATAAATAAACAAAACATTTAATTTGCAATTCATTGAATCCATACACCGTCATTGTATTAAAACACTGGTAATCTATAACTTTGTACATTGTAACCAAGACTGTTTTATCAGGCAAAAGGCAAATCTTATAACGTCATTTAATGTTTATATAAGCGACTTTTGTTGTTGAATTTCAATATGAGCTATCTCCTTTTCTACTGAAGTTTTTTCCAATTCAATCATCTCTATGTCACATTTCAGTTGTTTGTAATCCTCACGAAGTGTACTCAGATACTTATCAAGTCGATCTTTTTTTCTGTTTAATTCTTTTAGCAACCATGTTTCTTCATCACTGTAATACAAGAAAGCTATCAATTAGCATTATACTTTCTGAGAATATTATTTGATTATTATATTTCTTTATTTTGGCTCCAAGTTAGCAGTCAGTAAAATAATCAAAGTAATATTGTGACAAAAGTAGTCTATCGGTAAATAGAAATTCATTACCCTCAGTGCATGAAAAAAAAATCAAAAACAACACTTTATAAATTTCATGAGTCCAACGCGTATTTCTAGGTTGACCTCCATCAGGAACGTTTAGAGTCGAATATTTGAAAGTCAAGGATGTACAGAACCGAAACAATTGAAGAGAAAAAAAATGAAAATCTTTAGTTTACAAGTTACCTCAATCAATTACATGCACCTACGCAGGTTCAGACTAGGTTTAAACGGCACACAAAACAGTACAACAGAACAACCGACAACCAAGTATATAACGTCAACATTGTAGGTATCACTCGAAATATGGTAAATTCATAGTATCAGTTTATGGGTTGCTCTTGATGTGTGCTTTAGGATATGATTAAGTCGAATATATCAATTTACTTATACCTGACAGAAATGATTTAATGCATTAGAAGGAGTAAAAATATAAACGAACGGTATCGCTTGTCAGTCTAAAATAAAAGATATCCGAAAATATCTCCTTTGTCTAATGATTAACGTTTTGTTAGTTTAACTATTCTATGTTTTATTTCATGTTACAGTCCCTTATTCGTGAATATTTATAATTAATAAAAATATTCAAGCATTCACACCAAAACCAAATAGTTAAGAATTGCTTCTTTTCCAAAAAGCCGGAAACATCCGAACAATTGTATTTATTTTGATGTTAATTTTATTTCAAATATCTATCTATCTATCCATATACATCACAGAAGCAAGGGTTCGAATCCATGAGTTATCCGATAGAGAATACCTGTCATGAAGTTGTCACATGTTTAGACGTGAATGATAAAATTAAAATTTGATGTGGCGGCATGGTAATTAACATTATCATCCTTTACGACAGACAGAATAGCTGATCTGAAAGGTACAGCATCTACTTGCCACTATACATCATGTAATGTGTTACAACCCTAGGTAAAGCCGACGAGGAAAGGCATTACATCGACCACCGAAAGCTATATTTTTATGTAGCCTAGGCTGTCGAGTGGTCTAGAGCGCTGGACACGGTGCAAGCGGTGTCGCCACAATGTCTAGAAGCAAGGGTTCGAATTCCGCTGAGGGAAGAACAAAATTTGCTTACGCAAAATTTGAAGACCTCACAATGTTGGGCTAATTTTGAGACTAATTATATATATATATACATAAAGTGTTTATAAAATCAACCGAACAATGTGAGAGTAGATCTGATTCTTTACTTCCTCCCCGACCGGGGCTGGAACCTGTACTTTTCACTTCATACTTTTACGACAACACCGCCTAGCATTGCGCAGACGCCTTATCCCCTCCTCTAACTATAACTGAAAAAAATCAGCTTTCGTTTCGGGAGGTGTTACCTTCTCGTAGAAATTAAACAAGGTCGTCTAACACAATACACGAAGTAATTTTAAGTGTACAGGAATGATCATCTACTCATCTCTTAAGTATAATTGCAGGATGTTATCCTATTTTCAGAAGCCATACAATCTTTGTAAATTTATATATATGTATGTCTGGCTATGTGTAGTGACAACTGTAAATTATACCTTGTCCATCGGATTTCGTATGATTAAGAAATACCAGGCGTTGGAATATTTTTAAAGTGTCTAGAAAATCAACCTAACAATGTTAGAGTAGGTCTGATTCTTTACGCCATCCCCGACCGGGGTTGGAACCAGTACTTTTCACTTCATACTTCTACGACAACACCGCCTAGCATCTAGATCTATTGATGAAGAATTGAAATATGAATATATCAATATATACATGAATAATTTTCATATTTGATTATATTAAAATAATGCTTCTTAAGATGACCATCCCAAGCTTTAACTGCCGAAACACTAAAGTAGTGTCGGGTCCTATCAAGCAATATGGGATGCGTGGTTGCATGGGTGTTTTATAATAACTTTGTTGTTTTTTTTATAATCTCCTGTCGCTCAATAACCCACACTTGAACAAATGTTTGAAATTCATATATCCCTTTCAACTTATTACAGATACATGTAATACTGAAACTAGATCTCTTAGTTAAAATTTATATAGATTGACTATGATCTAGATCTTTGACACATGAAACAATTTTCCCATTGTCAACTGCTCACCCCTCAGTATAACATATCTTCTGCTACATCGTGTGGGGTTTACATAATTCAATTTATATGTTACGCGCGAAAATATCCTCATTATATAGGCTGCATTAACAGGTGTACGCTTATAACGCCAAAATTACGAGGGAAAAGGAGTTTTTTTGTCACCATCACAAATTTGTTGACCGATACTATGTGTCTATGTTTTAGCTCTCAAAACATTTATCTTCCGGTCTAAGACCTACATACATTATAAAAGTCGTTTGATCGATAAGTTTACCGATTGTGTCCTATTCCCTATCATTACATTTTGTCTCAGTCCGAACTAATATAGCGGGAGATGCATTTACAGACGGAGACACTAACCCGTGTCGCACAATCGGTCATGCTCCTTTTAGAGTTCATGGGATTACCTTAATTTTTTTTCTTTTGATTTGTATATTCGAAATGGATTTGATAGATATTTACATCGTTAAATTCCGATTGCTTTGTTTTACTTATCATAGAAAATAAAGGGGAAGATCAGAGCATACAAGCATGCCTCGTTTCTCTAAAGGCTAATTATAAACATAAGTGTAATACTACACACATTTAATTTTTCATCGGATTATGAAGAAACAATGCAAAATGCCTACTCGTGTCATTTTGCTTTTTGTCTAAATCGTATACATACGCATAATCGTCATCCTGGGTTGATTTGCTATGAACTTCCGGTTTTATCTTTGTTGTAGAGGAACAAACTGATTGCTTTTTCTGTGTAAGTGTAACCTGTCAAATGGAACAAAGACATTAAGTGGAAATTGTCAAAATCCAGGTAATATGGATGCATAAATTAGAGCTCGAATTTATTTTTTAATTTATTGTTTAATAGTATAAAAACAAGATTGTGTAATGCAATTTAAAAAAATATGCTTCAGAAGATGAAAGGAGACGTTAGAAAGCGAAAAGGTAAAATAACAAAAATACCGAACTCCAAGGAAAATCCAGAACGGAAAGTCCCTAACCAAATGGCAAAATCAAAAGTTCAGACACATCAAACTAATTGATAACAACTGTCATATTCCTGACTTGGTACAGGCATTTTCTTATGTAGAAAATAGTGGATTAAATCTGGTTTTATAGCTAGCTAAACCTCTCACTTGTATGACAGTCACATAAAATTCGATTATATTGACAACAATGTGTCAACAAAACAAACAGACATAATAGGTAAAAATTATGAGAATTATGAAATCGAATTAATGCAATTTAGATTCAGTTGTATCTTACCTAATTATTACAATATCTCAGAATTCCATATTTACTGTAACTATCTATATACGTTTTAGTCATTTTGTACACTCATATCTTTACTTTTTAATTTGTATAGTTCGTGTAATGTTATCCCTGAATTTGGTATAATACCTGGTACTGTTTATTGCATCATAACATTACATGAAACTTTAGAAACAAAAGTTTTGTGTATTACTAATTTGATCCTTCGAGAAGCTCATTTTCGCCATCATGATTTGGTTGACCGATATGGAATATCTGTGTCACATATGATCATGGATATGCTATTGCCCGTAGTATCAATATCGTCATCTCTTCGTCGATTATGACATCTTCCAATTTTTCACCGAATAATTACTTGCCATGAGTAGAACAATGGGTGACACCTGAGACCATGCCTTTTTATTTGGTTTTATGTATAGTGTTTTATAGACTTCCGTTGTGTTTCTTTTTGTCCATGGTAATGTATTTTTCTACTTATGATTTTTGTTTTGTCTTTTTTATCTCCATCGAGTCTTTTGTGTAAAATATAATAAGCCTCGAGGTTTTTTTTTCCTTTTTCCTTTTTGCTTTACTTAAATACTAATTACTAAATAGCTTAAAATCATAATAATGATAATATAGATCGAGTCTGTTTACAATTTTTTCTTTTGTGTTCTGTTATGAAAAGGTTACAACTTAAGTAGAGTACAGTCATTTACTATGCATTGGATTAATTTCAATCACATTATTTTGTATCAAAAATAACAAACTAAATTTATTCATCAAAACGTTCTAGCAAAGATTTCATACAAATTTTCTGTTTTGATAAACACAGTCTTCGTGTAATGTTCCTAATGGCTGACGAATCGGACGTCGGAAAATAGATTGATGCAAAATTGGTATCGCATACTTACCAAACACTTGTCAATGTCCTTGATTACTTCCTCAAAAAGAGTACCAGTTTTAACTGATCGAAATCGATGTTGCATTGCCTTTGATAACTGCTTTGCAAGATGTAAATCATCTTCGTTTGGAAACTGAATACAACACTCAGCGTATTGGACGACTGCCTTTAAATGAAAACGGGTTAGTCTCGTATTATTGCTTTCATATTCTCGGTCGAAGGCCTTTTTATAATGATGTTTGGCTTTTCGAATGTTCTCTTCTGTTTCAGTTAGCTTAAACACTTGTGCAATTTTCAAATGGATTCCTGATAGAGCTTTCCACGATGTCATGTCGTCAATGTTCTTTTCTAACTCATTTGCAATTGACAATGCTTTCTTTAAGTTTTGATTTGAAAGAGCTTTACCATAACCTGGTGTATTAAGCTTATCCAAGTTCTTACTTTTCATAGCGTCTTTCATGTTTGGTAAATTGGTTTTGCCAAAACTTTTACATTCCTCAATACTTTCATCCTCTGGTATACTTGGTTCCACAAACATTTGTTTATTCTTAACATTGCCTTTCATGAGTTCGTCTGGTCTTTCTAGTTTATATAGTTTTTCATGACACTCCATTTTAATTCTTTCAATCATTACAGATTGAAAGAGACTTGAATCTCCAATGCGTTTAACTACTCCAAACTCAGTAAAACCTGTGCTTTCTATATTAGAATCAATGTCGTTCAATAGTTCAATTGCTTCTTTAAGTAAATATGATAACCGATCGGGGTTGGAAAATGATCTCAGCATATATAATACACCACTACGATGTGTTACTTGCCTGAAGACCGGACAAAAGGATCTCACGGTATTTTGTGTGGATTTGATTCTATCGTGCTGCATCGGCAATGAGCTCAAATGTTGTTGTAATAACTGTGCAAGACTGTGGGCTAGCTGATGTTCCACTAAACTTTCTGGCGTAACAGGGACGTACGTGCTAGAAAATTCATCACGCATTTTTTCCGTCTCCGGTATTGAGCAGCTGTCTTTGGAAATTTGCATCAGCCATTTGTTCTTACTAGAATTGTAAAGAATCCTAATCAGAAGTTCAACTAAAAAAGTTTCTGCTATATATTTACTCTCCATAATTAGGTTCTTACTTCTAAGTGTGCTTACTACCTCTGCTGATAATTGATTATTGTGTATATCTTTGGTACAAAGTCCACCATAATTACGTAATAGATCGATGATCCTTGAGTGTCTATATTTGTTTTCAATGAATGTATCAATGAATTTAAGAGGCAGTTCTTTTCCTATTTCAACCAGTATGTTGAAGATGATTTCACAGTTCTCTTGAAGTACTCCGTTTCCATTGAGATACTCATTCATTGTGGTATAAGGATCATCAGTCTTGATATCTGAAAACTGGATGTGCTGACCACTTAAGAATGTTTCATACATTGTACTTTTTGCCTTTTCTAGATACGTATTAGCGGACAATTCAGTATTTCCATACAATCTATATGTGATTCCTATTGCACAATATATATAGCAAAGTTTTGCTTTCGTTTCATGTAACAAAATCGGGAATTCACCTACAAAATGTGATAAAAAGGCCTCTGCATGTTCTAATAACAGAACGTTTCTGTGAATAACTTCTAACCATCTTGCATCTAGATCTATAAAACACATGAAGAAATTCAGAAGTTTCTTGAGATGACAATTTCTTTCGGCACAGGTTTTTGATGCTTTCACTACCATGAAAGTAAATTCATGAGCACTTATCACTCGCTGCTCATCGTTACCCTTAATAACAACCAGAGAATATTTTTCTAAGGTTCGGAGAAAATTGTCCATTATTATTGCTTTTTCATCTTTATTCAAGGTTTCGGGCAAAAGAGATTTAAGAATGAAGAGAGGTATATTATCTGTGTTTAAATATGAAATGAGCGAAAAAATAGTTTTTTCCTCGACCGACATATTCTCTTCCGCTTTTACAATAACCATTTCACAAGCCTTTATGGATGCATATTCTTCAATGGTGGTTATCTTTTCAAGTCTTTCAAGATAACTGTCTATGCTTATTCCTGTTGTGTGTATATACGTTTTAGCAAATGCAAGACCACCTGGCAAATAGCTCAATCTTTTTGCCAATTCTTTTGCTTTCTCATCTAACGTATCATCAACGTTTAAATATCTAATAGCCTCATTCTCTGTCATTCCATAAAGGTTAACAACAATGTTGTCAAAGTCATTAAATAACGGCTCACTCGTAGTTACAATAACGGATATATTCTCAAAATCGTTCAGCTTCTTTAAGAACTTATGTATGAAGTTTTTTTGTGGGGATATAAATCCAAGCAGAATAAAAAGATGCTTTGTGTTCTTGAAATTGTTGCTTTCCAAAACTGCTACTGCGCGCAATAGCATATTGTTTATTGTTTCTTGTATCCGAAGGTCTGCGCTGATGTCTTGTATTTTTAAGTAGTTCATTAAACGGGTAAGAGAATTGTAGATATTCAACTCAGAATTGCAATCTATCCGCCAAATTAATGAATTAGTGTCCTTTTCTCTCATTTTTGAAAATTCTTGTGCATATCTGAATGCATGCCACGACTTCCATGTTCCAGGTGGACCTGAAAATTATGAAAAATATATGTTAAAAGATCTGCAAATATATAAAAATATTGTAAGGGTGCTTTGCCTAAATTACCGGGATTTCATTACAGAAGAACATGTAGAACTCGGTAAACTTCTGAATTATTCGGAGATCTCCAACAATAAATATTTAAATAATTACTTTTTATCCCTATAAATATGCAAATTTTTATGTGAAAATATAATGATACTCCTGGTTATGCAATAACTAGTAGCCATTGTGTCAGTTATTAACCCTTTTAAATGATTCATTTTTAATTTTTAGCTTATTTAACGAAACCTTGTTTGAAAGTTCTTCACGCAGAGATGATATTATACATGCTGGTTTGATATGTTTGCGTCGATTATATGTTGATTGTCGCAAACACTAGAACATGAATGTACCATTATATTATGTATTTATGTATTTCTCTGTGCTGAGTGTTCTTGCGTTTGTTTTTACTGTATTCCTGTCACGTAGTGTTGTCAATTTATCGGTATTTTTTCACATTGCCATATAAGCGGGAGGTTTGGCTAGCCATAAAACCAGATTCAACCCACCATTTGTTCTTAAAATGTCCTGTACCAAGTCAGGAATATGGCAGTTGTTATCTACAGTCCGTTTCTATGTATGTTGGCGTTTGCTTTTGTTGTAGTTCAGTGTTTCTGTTGTGCCGTTGTTTTCCTCTTATAGTTGATGTGTTTCCCTCGGTTTTAGTTTGTTACTGAGATTTATTTTTGCTTATTCGAATTATGACTATTGAACAGCGGTATACTACTTTTGCCTTTATTTAAATGGTTATTTAGATTTGCACAATATCTGAAATGTCTGAACGTAAATGTATGGTTAAGTTTCTTTTTCATACATTGGCATGGCGGTATATAAGTACAGGTAAGACATTTCGCTTGCAGTGAACCCAGTCTCTATTCAGTCATTTTTACAAACTTTTTGTATTGGTTAATTTAAAAAAAAACATACCAAGGGCCAATCGAAAATCAAACGTTCAATACAAACAAACAACACCAAGGCCAAAAATGAAAGACAAACAACAATAAAAAGCATTAGTATTTGCCAAACCTTTTAGATTTTCGGGTCATCAATTTTCTTCAACTTTTGTGATTCGAGTGTGACGGATGAGTCTTTTGTAAACGAAACGTGCGTCTGGCATACACACTGCTTAGCTCTGGTATGTCGATGATTTTTTATATAGGAACCTAAATATTTAGCAAAACAAATCCCGCCAAAAAGGAGGAAATCAAGTGCACCAATTGAGTAACTCAAGTATCTAAGATTTCTGGTAGAGAGTTGTGTCATCGGATATCATACCACATCTTCTTATTTTCATATTAACATAATTTTATTTTAATTAACAGCACGTGAAGTGGGTGAACCTTACTTTATTTACTACAATAATCGGAAAATTGACTGAAAACTGAACATAAAAAACTTAATATTTAATATTCATTTCAGAACTTCTCTTTCAGTCAACAAATATACAAAAGCAGCATTAGCTAGGACTTGGACAGCATCAATTGTGAAAAAGAATTGTACGTTGTATTGAGCACAAAAATATACGGAATATTGAATCATATTTTACTGCTAGCAGTAGGATTGGTCAAATATTTAGTTTTTAGATTTTTTGCACATATTCTCTTTATTTTAGGTATTGAAAAGGGTGTCACCTGAAAAGTATAACTAGTGAATCAAAAACTGTAATGTAAAATTTTAATCAACAAATAGAAACGCATAGAAAAAATATTAAAAAAGAATAAACATTGCATGTCTATCATCTCACTTATTTTCCACGTGCTCCACCAGTTTGGTTGATAATTTATTGAGGACATGTTCGGAAAACTTCGGCAATAATACACAAAAGTCTATCAGCAGGGAAAGTTTTCACTGGATGAATACATTTTTGTTGATTATATGTAATGAATTCGTAAAAATTGTAAAAATCGTGCATAGAGGACTTAGTTTAGTATATTAACATGCATTGGTTCAATTATTTCCTTAGCATTATAATTTCCGGAAACTCGTTTCATATGCCTTTAACTTGTCTTTTCAGTGGATGTTTTTAGTTTGCTCTTATTTTGAGTTTTCACACCAATGACACGGATTAAGGGAGGGTTGATCGCTCGCATACATGTTAAACATTGTCACAATCAAGTGGTTGCCGTTGGTTGCTGTATGTTTTTCGATCATGTTTGAATATAAATCTGAGGATGGTTTTCTCTTTTGAAATACCAATTTTGTCATGCCGAAAACGCGTAAAGCTTAGTATACGGTCAGGGTGTTTTCACAACTTTTATTAGTCATGTATTGAAAGGAAGTCTAAATCGATTTTTTTCATCTTGTCAAACTTATGCAGCAATGAATATATAAAGGAGTAACTAAAGACAACAGAAGTTAGATTATCTAAACTCGTAAATCCATTTTGAATAAATCAAAATCAAACAAATCGTTGCACTCGGAACGCAGCGCCTTCAGTTCGTTAAAAGTGTAAGCGTATCCTGCGATTTATGCATCGACAAAAGTCTCAAGTGAGATGAGACACATCGCTAAGTTAAAAGATTAAAAGTGCAATGATGGTTTAACGTATGTACATTGATATATTTTTAAATATGCTTTATTAGCATTGTATGTTGATGAAAATAACCATATTACTATTCTAATTAGATAAGGTTTTTTTATCTGATATTTAACTAAAGATAATGTCCGTTTAAATAAAATGCAGTTTCGATTTTCTCAAAACGCTAATTATACAGTTAAGTGAATAAACTCATTAAGGATACTAGGATTAAAATTTTGCACGCCAGACGTTCGTTTCTTCTACAAAAGACTCATCAGTGACGCTCAAATTATAAAAACTGAAAAGGCAAGTAAAGTACGAAGTTGAAAAGCATTGAGGACCGAAAATTCCGAAAGGTTTTGCCAAATAAAGCTAAGGTAATCTATTTCTGGGGTAGTGTTCAAATGTGGGGTAGGGTCAAAATCATGTGTCAAAAAATCCTTTTGAACAGGATTATTTTCCCAATTCTATTAATTATGCAACTTTAAACTCGAAATCAGATTAACATATTGTCAAAATCGCAAGAGCTATCAGGACCAACAAGCACAGACTCCGGAAGTGTCTAAACTGTAAACATGCACAATTTTAAGAAATTACCTCGGGTTTTAACAGAAGTGTTATGTTGTGCAGATTTAGGTATAAAACTCAAACCATAGAAGCATTTTTGTTTCCTATTCCAGATTTTCTAAAATGAACACTTTTGTGGTACGCATAATAAAGCAAGATTGATTGCCAATGTGTTAGTTGATCGCTTATGAAAGGATATGAAATACAATTAAAATATCTAAACTATTTCTTTTTTTTTATCTGTTATTCTAGAAAAAAAAATCACCATTTTCATATCTTCAACGATAACCTGCAATGATCAGAACCAAATCACCAGAACAGAACATGCTCTCGCAGGACAACCTCACCCACCATGATACTACTATTGATAATCTAAAAATTGACTGAACACTGAACATTAATTACTACTTTATTGTTCATGACTAAAGTGTCCTTTCAGTAATAACTATATGTATGCAGTAGTAGTCATAGTTTATAAAAAAATGTTTTCTAGGCTTCATACATTAACAAAAATGAAATATTCAAAATAACTCTGTAAGCAGTCAGATTCGTTCAATTTTAAAGGAGAACACAAACTTCGCTAATGTATCCTTCATTGTTTTGCAAGACACTACTTCTATCTCGTTTTGAGACGTATGCATTTGAACTGTTATATGACGTCAGTTGAAGATTGATTGCGCAAATGGTCATCGTGTTTAGTTAAAGGGGAAAATATCAACTGAAAAGGGAATTTATTGAAAGCCACATTGAATAGTGAAATCAGTAAATGCCATGGCCAAGAGGAAGAGTGATTTCGTTGATTGATTCTGCCCGCCAAAACAAATACTTCTTATACAGGTAGAACGATGATTTTCTTTTTGTTTCTTTATGATTTGAAATCAAACAGAACGTAAAAATGGCATAACACTATATGTTAACATGTCTTTTTATTTGTATAATATATATAAATAGGGCTTACAAGTTCATCGGCAATCTTTGGGATCTGCTTACCCTTCCGGAGCACATGAGATCACCCCCAGTTTTTGGTTGGGTTCGTGTTGCTCAGTCTTTAGTTTTCTATGTCGTGTTTTGTGTACTAATGTTTGTCTTTTGTCATTTTCTTTTTTAGCCATGGCGTTGTCAGTTTATTTTCGACTTATGAGTTTGAATGTCCCTTTGGTATCTTTCGCCCCTCCTTTGGGATCATGTCGATGGTTAATTAAATTGCATATTGTTCCTCTCCCGCGCAAAATGCTGATTCCATGCATTGGTTGTATTATTAATGGAGTTTTAGTTATTCTGATAAAATCTTGTGTATGTTTTAAATCAAATTTGAGTTTTAGTTGATTCGGTCAACATGAATTTGTCAGCGAATGCCGCTTTAACAAGTCAAACGTTTGATGTGTTTTGATTCTGAAAAGTCTTATATCAACATGAAAAGGTATAATTAATTAATGTTACTTCCAATATACGTTTTGATATAACAGATCTTTATTTGTGTTGCGACGCCATCTATATTTGTCACAAAAAAACCTTCAAACAAGATCGTGAAATTTAACAAAAGCTGATATATCCTAACAATGACTGAAATACTGATTACATTTACTTCAGTTTTAGTTCCGGACTTACTTAACAGTTGGGCTCATACTCAAATGGTCTGTGTTGATTTGGAGAAACAATAGTATACCTTGCAGACATTTTTACAAAATACCGAAATATTGCACGGATGCACCAGATAGTCATTTTCACTCTTCGATATTATGTTTTCCAGTTTACATCATAAAATATCAAATATTATAAAATCGTCTATAATGAACATAATGTAAATCACCTACCTTTCAAAATGACTGCATTATTTGTTAACATATGTTGACATAATTTGTGGTATTCTGATGTTTCTATATAATGTTCAGGTACGTACATTCCACGCAATCCATAGTAATCTGAAAATGATTTCGTGCAATTATTATTAAACATTTGATTTTGCTGGTACAATATTTCACCATATTCTTTCAGTACGCGAGAATTGTAATAGTAAATTGTTATGTATCATTAACATTGACAACAAGGTTTTAACAGTATCAGAATAGCGATTTCAAAATTATTCTTATGAAAGAGACATAGTTAAATTTTTAAAACTATGATAAATAGTTGTATTTTCAAAAGACATATATATCATTAGGAAAACATTATTGTAATATCTTTCTTTATAATATAAAAAAAATCTTAGAAATGATGTTGCTTCATTATTAAATCCATGCATAGCATGCTACTGTGCTGATAAATTACGCTTTCCTTATAATAGAACAGTAGGTTATATATTTCAGAAAACAAAGTTCAGCTCTAAGATATAATGTGCCTTAAATTGTTTTAGTACATCTTTAATATTATTGATCACCCCCATGTTCTCGTTGTTGCGTGATCCAGTGCGGGCGGTTGCAGTTCAAAGGGATAAGAGCGATTACTGGTCGACTCAGAGTCAAAATAATGTGTCTAGGTAGGTGTCTTCTGCGGACTGTTACTTAGTGAACTAGCACGGTCCAACGTGTCAGTCTAGTGTAAATATTCATATCGCATTAACATGTTCGCATATTATATTAAATGAACACGAACCACACTCAATAACCGTAGGTAAACTTGTTTACGCAAAAAGGGTAAACAGTTACTACACCATTACTGACACTTGTCCTGATATTCATGTAATTCATTAACTGCGATAAGGCACCATACAAAAGCGGATTGGTATTTTTTTTTGTCTAGTTCTAAAAAAATCAAATGTACAAACCATCGGTACATGTAAATTCGTATGTCTTAAACATTAAAGTATGTGAAATTTTGAAACGAAACCACCAACACTAAAATGATGTGCAAATCTTACTTTACTGGCGGCAAACGTGATGAACATTCCGTGTTGAAGGCCGTACTTTGATCTATAATGGTTTACCTTTATACATTGTGACTTGGATGGAGAGTTGTCTCATTGCCATTGGCACTCATACCACATCGTCTAATATCTATATACAGAAACTTAGGTGGACATACGTGCAAAACTACGTCACAGTTTCATACAAAGGTAATTTGATTCCCTTCTCGAGTAAAAGAAAACTGATTTAAACTACTATAATAGTATATATATTCTTAAGATTTAATATCAGCATTGCATAAAAGGCATAAAGGGAATGACACATTAATCATAATTTGAAGACAATTTAAAGTTTAAGTTATATTTGCTTTAGCTGTAAAAGAGGGGTGAAAGATACCAGAGGGACATTCAAAACTCAAAGGTCGAAAATAAACTGACCACGCCATGGCTAAAAAAGAAAAAGGCCAACAGACAAATAATAGTACACAAAACACAACATAGAAAACTAAAGACTAGCAACAACACGAACCCCACCAAAAACAGGGGGAGATCTCAGGTGCTCCGGAAGGCACTCGTCGTGTTGCTCATGTTAGTACAAACCCGGTAATAAGTCTAATTCGGTAAGTCACATTCGGAAAAGGGGGGCGGGATTGTGGTTACGACATTAGGAAACGTATGCAGGGTATGTTTTTCGATATTCTTGGTATGGTAATTCGCTTTTTATCTCACAGGAACTTAGTATGAAACGAATGTTTAAAGATTGATTCAATCGTTATATAAAAAAAAATACGAAATATATTCTATAAAATTGAGAGTGGAAATGGGGAATGTGTCAAAGATACAACAACCCGATCAAAGAGCAGAAAACAGTTATTCATAATTGTATAAAAACAAACATTTAGTAATGTATCTGGGGGTAACCATGAACTACATCATAAAATTGGATGTACAAATAAACAATGTATGTATGAAAGCTAATAGTACTCGTAGCTTTCTACATGTATGTACGAATTTGAACGTAAGCCCAATATTCATTTAAGAGCAGGCATACAAGTCCTTAGTAAGTAGGAGACAACTTAACAAAATTTTCTTTCAGAGGAAGAAGTACCCCTATAAAAATAGATTTTGCTCAACTACTTCATCACATATTTGCATTATTTAACATAGGAAAGCACTAAGGCAAATATATTGGACCCCTAAAATATAATTTGCGACTAGTTAAATAACTTTTACAGATCTACCTGCCTCCCCTTGGTTAAACACAATTGTCGTTTTGGTGGCTATTCCATACTCCCAAATGATATAGGTCTCTAAGCCTACAATGTACCTGTGGATTCATTATATATATGTGTGTGTGTGTGTTGGGGGGGGGGGGGGGAGGGGGTGTTGTTTGATTTAGACCATGATAATCATTTTGGATTACTAAGGCAAAGACCATTTAACTTCCATGGGAGAATTTTTATTCCATTTCACCTTTGTTTCATGCGATTGGAAGTGTCGCATAATGTTTTGCTCACATTAAACCTTACTTTTAAAGAGAGGAAAACTTCTTATCCAAGATATTTTTCTCATGAATTAGTCCATACATTGCAACACCTTTGTCTGGCAATCCTTGATGATTCTAGTTAATAATTTGATGATGACATAAGCATTAATAAATACAAATAATTTTGGATTTTGTCGTTAAATCTTGAATATCACATTCTTCAAGAATATCAGTAAAACGTTTAGTGTTAAGTTAAGTTGTAAATATTTAAAAATGTATGCTCCCTTGACGAAAATGTAATAAGCTCTAGTAGCTCTAATGGCAAACATTTCAATTGAAATCAACGAATTAAACATCGTATACATTTTATAGTTGACGATCTCTTAGTTATCTAGTTTTGAATACATTGGTGGGTATCAAGTATTGAAAACTATGTTACATGTGATAATAAGTAAATTATATATTTGTAAATGATATTTTCAGGGAGTGTGATATAATTTCGTTTTTTTATCTTGCTCTATATATACATTGTATACGCGTTTAATTGTAAAGCAAAATATTGTCCACAAAATTTCATTACTATTTATCATAAAAAAATATAGTCCTCATCTATGAACAAATGTCCAGAGAAGGACAATCTCCTTTGTGAATTTTGCCTGTACATAGACAATATTTCAAAGATGAATACTATGAAATTTTGTCCAGTTAAAGGGAGGTTATATTTTGTGTGTATTGACACAATATTTCATATACAGATTGTCATGAAATTTTGTCTCATTAAGGGGAGGTTATCAACATATATCATGTTAGATAATGATGTCATTAAAGTGTTTTATTTGATTGATAAAAACAAATAAACACAAACTAGTTTTCCAGTTACTCCTGTACATCCAAAACTACGTCTCAAAAAAGGTTTGTCAATCTAGTATTTACTAATACTATAAGTACATTAAATGTTTGACATAAGTAAGTGAGTGTCAGTACATTACTTGTATTCATACAGTATAATGCCGTACAATGGAACATATGTTAGACAATTCTTTAATCTATTAACCATTTATAAAGTATCTATGCAAATTTGAAACAAGCTAATGTTAAAATAAATATTAGTTTGATATATAAAATACTGACTTTACAAAATAATTTCAGTTATAAATCTAAAAATGTGCATGCTGCATGCTCAAGTGTACTGTTTTTAATTTTGTAATAATTTGATTAAGAAATATTTTCATGGACACTATTTCACAGTGAAATATGGTCATGGACAGAATTTCACAGTGAAATAAGTTATTAATTTTGAACAAATTTATCATTTTGAATTGTAAATTTTTCATATTGAATTCTTAAAAAATATATTAAGTGATCATGAGAAATCCTCTTAGTTCTTAAGACATGCATGTAACTTAATTGCAACGTACGGTGGCCTATAAAGATCTAACTCAACTGTTAGATCTGACAAAACATGTTTAACCCCGCAGCATTTTTGCGCCTGTCCAAAGTCAGGAACCTCTAGTCTTTGTTAGTCTTTTGTAATTTTTTGTTTTTTTTTAGTTTTGGTTCATTTGTATGTTTCGAAATTTATAGTGTGGCGTCAGTTTCGCTGAACTAGTATATATTATTTTTTAGGGGCCGGCGGGAGCACGCCTCCAGGTGCGAGATTTTCTCGCAGTGTTGAAGACCCATGGTTGGCCTTGGGCTGTGTTCTGCTCTTTGGTCAGGTTGTTGTCTCTTTGACACATTTCCCGTTTTCATTCTCTATTCTTATTGCGAATATTGAAGACTGAATAGTATTCTGTTTCCTAAAGAATAATATATACTAGTTCAGCGAAACTGACGCCATACTATAAATTTCGAAACATACAAATGAACCAAAACTAAAAAAAACAAAAAAATACAATTTTGTTGTCATGTTTTAAATCTTTATTAGTGGTTGTGACACCAAGTAAGCATTGTTTACATGATCTGATAATGTTATATATTTTTAAAGAGTCTTAATCATTATCAAGTACATGTATCAATTTCAGAATAATAACGCTGTATGAAAATATTTTTTCCTTTAAAATTTATACACACAGGAAACCCCATCTAAGTGTGTATAAAATAAACATTTATTCAAATACAGCTTCACATGAATACTCTTCTTGAATTTTAAAATATAATTGTTAAATATTGAAAACGTGTTTTAATTTGTCATTATTGTATGCAGTGACCTTTAACATGTTTAGACATGGCAATGATATGATTTAAATCAATAATAAATAGTAGTCGCCATGTTGAAAATATTGCAAACATCATCGCGTCGTGTTTTTGTTAAATAAGTAAATCTTGATATTAATGGGATTAAATAGTATTATACATCTAAATATGTCAGGGATGAGATTTTGATAAGTATTCAATTTAGATGTGTTTGATACCAACTGTTATAAAACGCGAACATTGTCTATTGTTTAATATCCAGCTATCATATATAACCATTACGAGATATGATTTGTACATGTTGTATGAATAATTTTATTATTATCCTGAAATCCTCTTACTTTAAAATTCCTTACTGATAATAGATCATTTTTATATAAATCTACACCTTCTATCGT